TTTTAAAAAAATTTATTGCATTTTTGAACGAATCACGAAATTGCAATTTTTGAAATTTGAGCGCGTGGCGCAGCAATAGGAGGTCTTTAGACCGAGCCAACCATATGATTATCTTGATATTATCAATTATATTTAATTCTATATCAAGCATTTTTATAGTCATCAAAGAGATTAGTAATAATCAAGAATTCTATGAATGGTTTAAAAAAGATGTAAATATTTTGGCAATCTTTACAGTAATTTCAAGTGCAGAAGTTGATACATTGTTGATATTATCATCACAAATAGCAGGATTGAAGCCTTTTTTTGCACCATTTTCATCAAATTCTTTGTCATTGATATTTTGGTGCAATTTTGTAAATTTTTTTATTGAAGATATACCACAGTTTATTATCCAGGTTGGTCATTTAAATTATAATTAATTCAACACTTTAAATATTTTAATTAAAAAAAAAGGATTCATTAACACTATTATTTTCTAGGTTATCTATATAAACTCTACAATATCATATGACATAATTCCATTCTTAACTTTGATAACAAGTTCAATCAATATTGCCAATAATATTATTACCAGATTTTACAATCTAATTATTAACATTAAGATAAAAAGGCTTCATTGTCACTACCAATTGGTAACCATTCAACAGTTCTTATTGAAAATATTGATATTGATAAAGATAATTGATACCGTAAAGTAGTGATCACAATCATCATATTCATGAATATTCATTAAGGGGGTTACACTTATCAAAATCAAGTGATTGACAGATAATTTTAAGGGATTTTTGGATTTTTGATAAGTGTAACCCCCTTAATGAATATTCATGAATATGATGATTGTGATCACTACCGTAAAGTCTGGAAAGATAGCTTTTTACATATGTGTAACATTTTTTTTTATATTGACGCTCAATTGTTTTAAAGTAGGGGTGCTATCTTTCCAGACTTTACGGTAGTAAAAATAATATTAGTACATTGAAAAAAATTTATTTATTTATGACATTAAAATTGTTTTAATTTATTACACAAACAATTCTGTTGCACATGTTGGTATTATTATTTATATTATACTACTTGTCTTGAAAAATTTAAGACAATTCAAATTCAATTGGAGCTTTTCTAGCATCCTTTAATTTGTTTTCAGTTTTTTTTTTAATGGACAGGTATATGCAGGTTCAGTATAGCACACTTGGTGCAGTGATTATAGTACACTTATTTTCCTCTCTTCGCAATCAATTCTTGTGATGGGTGTTTCTTTTATAACAATATAACAAATATTTTTCGATGTTGTATAATTGTTAGCATAACATTTTTATTACAGCTTTTACATTCTTGGACCTTATATTCTGAAAAAATGAATAAAATACATAAAAATTTTATCTTTACTAGGTAGGCAATGGAATAAATTTGATGTTGTTTTGTCTGAAGTTGATGATTTGGAGTTAATTCATCTTATATAGTACTTGTAGTCCAGAATAATTTGGATCTTCATATGAATGAACATAAAATAACCATGCTATTTGGTTTATTTTTGACTAAAGAGTCCAAATAATCTTGTATATAATTTCAGCTAACATTTGTCAGAGAAATTTGTTTATACAGAAAAGTGACTGCTGGAATTAAAAATAATTAATCAAAATATTCTAGTTTTTACTTTTACAAATGATTTCTTTTATGAATTATCTAACCAAATACAAAAGAATTTCAATCTTGATATTATTGATAGCAATGATAAAATAATATAGAGATTTCCGCCAGAATGACCAAAGAATAGGGGTACTCATAAATGGCTTGTATGCTCTTATAGACATCACGAATTTGGTAGTTTTCCTCTTTTCTATTGTCCATACCCACATGTTTGTAAAAAAAACTTTAACGGAAAATATCACGAAATTTTATTAAGCAGAAGTTGGTATAGTTTCTAAGCTGAAATTAATCCTTGTGGTGAATTGCTTGTAGAAGTGGTATTAATTCATAATCACAATTTTGGTAGTTATCCCATTTCATCCACACCCCATATTAATATGCTCATCAAAAATTCCCCATTTTCATCAGGAAAACAGTTTTAAGAGATTAGTGCACAATATAAGCATAATTTGCACATATATTAACTAAAGAGTTCTGACTGTCTCCATTCTTTTTACCAGAACTACAAGCTGGGCCCAATATTGTGGCTAATATGATTTGTAGCAAACAACCTTGATTATTTTCTTCAACTAGGTATTTTACAGTGAGAATATGCTGCTCATTTCTTTATAATCAAATGGATGCTAAAAGGCTTTGAAAGCTCACATAAAGAGTGCAAGAGATACCTCAACAGAAATTGCAATGGAAATTTTCAAGTACTCATTGCCTCTCTTCAAATCAGAGGGAGAACATTGGAGAACAGAGATGATAGTTACCAATAAAAATAGCCGGGTGGCAATTATTAATAGAGCATTTAAAGCAGGAGTCAAAACATGAAAATTATGAGTACTTTTGGTGTTTCTCGTCTCCCACCTTTTAATGATAACTGGAAAAAGGTCAAATGAAGGAATGGAAAAATGATACTGAAATCAAAATGGATTGTACATATTTATTGATCCACGTAATGATTAATCAGACACTTATGTCGCAAGCAACATTTAATAACAATGAGTAAACTGCTCTGGATATGCCATAAATCCAAGCCATCATGGGAACCCTGAATATCTGTTGATGTTAACATTGTTGATTAGCACTTTATGCTTTTGCAGTAACAGCAGGAAGCATAGTATTATTATTTAGTTATATGGTGGTCATTTTAAAATAATAACATAATACCTTATAATATATGTTTTAAGAAAATGGTTTGATAATGTGAAGCTATTAATATTACCACTGTGTAAATTATTTATTCATTTTTAATAAAATATAAAAATTACCACCTGAAATCAGTGTTGGAAATTGAGTGCGGGGGTTTGTGTTATATATTGAATTTAGCCAATCAAATTTGTTCTGGTAGAAAATTTAACGTTGATTGGCTAAATTCAATATATAACACAAACCCCCGCACTCTGCCTGAAATCCAAAAAAGTGATGAAAATTTTATTTTTCCAAGTATGTAAATCTCCATGCTCAAATACCAGTATTAACCAACCATTTTCATTTGGGAACTTTTGTAATTCCAAAACATTTGTTAACAGAAAAATAAAATTTATCTAACTAAAAAGTTGTGAAATAATATTTATGAAAAATAATATTTTTCAAATTTTACCTCATTGCAAATATCCAAGATATAATTTATAGAATTACTTGGTCTTTTCAGCACAACCTCTTTTTGTAGTATCAAGAACTATATATCAGAACAAGTTAGTTTACAAGGGAATCTTGAAGGTTGAATTTGAACAAGTAAATAATCAAATTATGCGCGGAATTTAATTTTGATCAAAAAACTCCTTCTAGTCTGAGACAAATAAAATTCATGTCGCGAAAAATTAGCTCATGAAGCAATATTAGGAAATAAAAAGGCAATATTGGGAAATGAAGAGGTATCATTGATATCGGAATTGGTACGGAATTTTGCTCGAATGAAAAATAGCTATATTAATATATAAAGTATAGCAAATGCTAGTTCAGCAAAATTACTCGTCAAGGAATTGATATAAGGACTAACCCTCCCCTTGTGGCTCTGTATAGATTAAGCGTAACGTGCAAATGTTGCATTTTCACTAATCATTTATTTATTGGTGATCGCCAAAACTATTTTGAAGAGGCGAAAAATTAAAAGTTATATGTCAAAACTAAGTCAAAAGCCAAAACTAGTTTCGACTTTCGCACAGTTGTGAAACTATATTTCTGGAAACCAACACTATATGAGACACTAAATTTCGGCTGGTTATATTCAATAAGTGGATAAATAGGATAATTATAAATTTCTTGTGATAATAAGTTCTGTGTAGTATTTATTTTTTTGTATAGTATTAGAAATTAGATTACTACCTTTGACATAGGCATCTACATGTAGATATTTGTTTATGTATATACTATATATATATATATATATTGTTTTTGACAGTAATAAACTATAAATTAAGCTTTATTTCTCAATTTATTGATTCAAATAATACCTTAGGGAGCGTAAAAATCCTCCCATGTAAATTTATCTTGTTGATCGTAATCATCTTCGTCATTGATATTTAATTGATTATAACAATCTTGATTTGCAGAATTTCGTCTGTCGATAAATTCATTAAAGCGCCTAGTGTATATAGTGACCTTGTATCTTTCGTAATCTGATGAACTTCGATTCAAATCGCTAACGACTAACGTAAGTAAACTCCGATGGATGTCAGGAAAACTATTTTCATCAGTTTGAAGGCAAGACCTTGCTACATATACTAAAAATTGATGGTGGTTTATATAATTGTATTTTTCATTATTGTTGTGATTATTAATCAAATGCAGATAATAGTTGTAAGCGTCCAATGTTTTTTCTTCAACTAACGGGTATATTCTTTGTCTTAACCATCGGCCAAGATCCCTCCTTAAATGATTGCTGATGTTATTATTACCATTATTAACTTGATTGATTTGGGGCATTTTTAATGCTTATGAGTTAAAAAATTTTTTTAAAATTTTTTTAGAAGAAAATTTTTTTCGTAAAATATTTAAAAGATTATCATCAAGATTTATGCTCACGTATCTAGAAATTTCTATTCCATAAATTCCTTCTGTATCGAATCAGCATAGAATTCTGTACAAATTTCTCAACCAAATTGAGCATTAGTAATACATCATTCTTTTGTTCTATGAATTGAAACTGTTTATGACTAAAAATTATTTGGATATTCGAATGTTCGGCTACACACATGAATATTCTTAATGAATATTCGGTACCATATACCAAACCAGAAATTAAAATGGTCATTATTAATAAATTAAATCTGAAACGAATAAAACGAGTAACTCGAATAAAACGAATAAAACAGCGAATAATTTGAATAAAACGAGTGATTCGAATAAAATGAATAAAATGAGCAATTCGAATAAAGCGAATAAAACGAGTACTTCGAATCAAACGAATAAAACAGCGAATAATTTGAATAAAACACTTCGAATAATAGTTTAAATAAAACACTTTGAATAATAATTTGTATTACGAATAGAAACTCTCTATTCTTATAAACAATCCGAAACATTAATATAAAATTTAATTAAACAATTGTTTGTTTGTTCTTTCACTTGTCAAGTCAAAAAGTGACGTTAATCTTTCTTTTAAAATTAATTTATATAAATAAACAATATAAATAAAAATTCAAAGATAAAAATATTATTATAATAATAATAAACGAGAGGCAGGTCGCATGTCCGAATTTTGCATTCCTAATTTGGTATGTGATATCAAGAGTTTGTATTAGCAACTGTTTTTTTTTTGGTGTCTTTTACTCGATATACTATTACTAATACTAATACAAGGATTTATATGGCGAAACAATTGGGCTAGTTTGCATACTAGAAAAATGAGATACAAGGCTTCTTTACATTAAAAACATGTGGAACTAAATTTATATAATCAAAAACCCACCGAATATTTGGTTGAGTACATCAAGTACAATTACAGGTCCCAAACACCCAACCCAAAAATGGTTTGTATTATACTCACTAATATACTCATACTATATTCAATCAATCAATACATTCAGATAATCATTTGATAAATAAGGATAAATTAATTATTCAATGAATGTTAAACAAAAATTTAATCCTGTTATACAAGATTTATTATTCACCTCTACATATGTGTAGCCAGATATTTATTGTGTAGCTATAAGTGAACAATTATTTGTGCCAGAGAAAAAAAAATTAACAATTGAACAGTAACGAAAAGGGTAAATCTTCCAATTTCAACTCATCGTATTATTTTTTTGTCAAATGTCCCACATTTAGAAAATGCTATGAGTTTCTGAATTGAAAAAAAAAATGATTTAGTATGGTTACCAAAGAAATTCACCTTTGTTGAGTATGATTGGAAAATATTTTTAATGCAGATGGATGAAACTAGTGATATCAGCCGTTAAAAAACCTTAACTAGCCAAGCCAGCCAAGAACTATTTTTTATTGTTTATCAAAATTTTTGGATTCTCTTTTAAAAAAGGATAATGAATACTATTTTTACTAAGCCTATTTGGGAGCAAAAACCAAAATTGAGATAATAATAATAATAATAATATATATCTATGTACCGTAAAGATTATAGAAAAACATATTCTGCGGAGATCGTCACCCAAAAAAATTTACTATTACTAAATACATTTCCAGCTGGTGTAAATTCTTGCTTGTACAGCAAGATTGATTCTACCAAACAAATGAATCTTCTTCAATAAAATTTTTGTAATGATATCCTCTATCTCTGATATTTTGTGTTGTACATTATTATTGTTTGTAATACCGAATATTAAAATTGAAATAAAAGTTAGCTAATAATAATAAAGTCAGAATTTCATATCCAAACGCCCCATCAAAAATTTTAATTATTATTATAGATTTTAATTCCGCATGGTTTCAATATCAAAAAGACTAGTTTACTTTTTATTTGATTATCATAAAAACAATGATAAGGTTGAGTACTAAAAAAATTTTTTAAAAAAGAAAATCAGTCGGCTAAGCCGTTAAATTCCTTGCTAACATCACTAGATGAAACTAGCTTATTTTATTGTATGTCTCCAAACCAAACTCCTGCTGGTCCAGTTTTAGGAAAAACAAATGTTTTTGCTTATTCAAAATTAATTTAATAAAAACTAAATATTTTATTTTGTTAAAATTTAATAAAACAAATAAAGGTTAACAGTGTTATTAACAACTAATGCAACTGGTACAACGAATTGTAATTGGAAAGTCCGTCAACTAAAAATGTTTCAGAAATGTGAAGGCAATGAGTTATTGTAAAATTAAATCGGGGATGGTTATTAGGTGCAATGGTATAACTAAATTCCCAGATAATGGAAATTATGCGATTGTTTTAGGTTATGCTCGAGAGGGAATTTAAGAGATTATTTGCAATAAATTTAACATTAAAAGACAGAATTAAAATATTTTATTGTTTATGTACTGCATTAGATGATATGTCTTTGCTGCAAGTAGTTTACAAATCTACTTCAAAGGCATGGATGCGCAATGACATTTTGAAGATTGGTTAATATTAAGAAATTTAGACAGTCAATTTCGGGCAAAAAGAAAAAACGTTTTACTTTTAATTGAGCAATCAGGAAGTTGTAGTGAAATAAATGAATTTCATTTGACTAATATCAAAAATAATTTTTTTGCCACCAATGGATCAATAATCCCAAGATAAAATATATTCTATAAATATTCTAGTTTGTGAATAGTAGGATATTTAATCAAATAAATTTATTTGTAGCAAATTTTTGAAAGTCCTTTTTTTTTTGGTATTGTTTATTTGAATTTAAGAATTTGAGGTGAAGCATGGGTTGCTACTGTTAATTGTTGGAAAAAAGCGAGAATTTATCAATCAATTGAATCCTTAGAAAATCGACTTCCATCATCACCATATGTCAGGGCTTCCATTAATGTAACATTTTAATATTAACCATATTTAGTATTTTATTAATGGCCAACCCTGTCATGTATAATATGTCATATTTACACTACTATTATTACTATTACTATTACTATTGCTATTACTATTACTATTACTATTACTATTACTATTACTATTATCAATAAATTTTAATTCAATTAAGAAAATTTATTTGGTTACCTTTAGAAGATGTTCGTTTAACTTTAAGCTATTAATTACTAACTCTATAGCCCAAGTCATGGCTGGAATATATAAGTCAATTGCTCCCTCTACGTGAAAAACTCTCCTCCCACATTTGGCGAAACATACACACCTATTGGGAGAATATAATTTATAGAACTATATAATTCATTGTTGCCATGAGTAGGAATTTTTCAAAGCTTCCGAATTAACATATGAAAACGCTTTTAATATTAAACCTTCCAACGTTAATTTTCATTTATATAATAGGTTGGAATTTCTATCTTTCTGTCAATATCATTTTTATCACCTCCAGAAATTCGTAATAGAAAACGTATCGTATGCATTATTAAATTCTTCAAAATATAGATTATTATTTATTATTCAGTAAATCATTAATTCGTTATTATTATTATTATATATTTAGCTAACAGTCACCCAATTGTTAATATTAACAATAATTTTGATTATTTTTAATATTTTTAATCTTTAGTTTCGACATCCTATATACGTCATTATAATTATTGTTAATTATGCTATTACCATTAAACATTACTTAGTTCAAAACTTCAGGATTCGAATTTTTCAAACTTTTCTCATTCTTCGACTATACTTTATTTTCGGGTTGTTTGAAATAGTATAGAACGAAACAATCCGTGACGTCACAAATTCCACATCAAAAAAAAGTGTTCAATATGAATTTTTGATCAAGGAGCATTGAATTTAAACAGCTTTAACCTTGAAGGGTTACAACTTTGTACCTGCTGTGCTTATCTACCTTCGGGTGAATGGAGCAGCAGTATGTATAATTTTATTGACGGGTGATAAATCAATCCTTCCCCGCCAAACATGTAGATAGTTTTGTATTGTAATCTTTGATTGATCATTTATTTGCTTATTTCATTCAACATCCAACTGCGTTAGCGTTTGAAATTGATCAACTTAAATTGTTAAACGACCCGTTGAAGAATGAAAAATGTAGTTTGATTGCATATCTTTGAATTAAAAACCTCATTTTGAAGTTCTTTTTATCAATCAATGAAATTAATATATCAAAATAGATTATATCATTAGCATTATTTTGTATCTTTTGTATCATTTGCTTAATATTATATTGTATATAATTACTTAAAAATAACAAAATAATGAAATCAAGTTTTCATAATAATAATAATAATAATAGTAATAGTAATAATAATAATAAAGTTCTGAATACAATTTTAATGTTAATAATGATTTTTTTAATAATAAATTATTGTAAAAAAAATTATTTTATATTTTTCCAAATGTGCGTTCAGATACTTGTGGATATTTTTTCTTGAAAACAATACGAGACTTTGCAGCCTATTTATTATGTATGATCAATAAAATAATGGATGAATGGATGAATGAATATTTGATTAATTAACAATAATTATTTTGAAAATGATAATCACCTCTATATATTCCTGAACACCTATAAGTTCATTTTCAGTTCTTGGAAATTCTTGATACTTTTCAAAATATCGTAAAGCCCCTTCACAATCATTTTTTGACAATAAAATCTCGCCCATAACTAAATGTGCAAGCTCATTATCTGGATCGACTATATACATAAAAATAAATTTACTATATAGTCAAAAAAATATTTTAAAATAAAAAAAATTTAAAAGTACAAACTATCTAAAGCTCGCTGACAATAATTTTCGGCATCAGTAAAATTGTTATTAGGATGTAAAACAAGCATTGCTCTATGTATTAGTGGTGATACAAATTTCCCTTTAGCAAACTCAATAGCCTTATCAAATTTTTCTATTGCTGTATTAATATCACCATTTTCAACCAACAGTTCACCGTAATAATTATAAAGTTCTGCTGAATCATTAAATTTCTCTATTGCATCCTCACAGACTTTAATCGCGTCTGCTATTCCTTTAGATTTGTATTGGCATATGACAAGTTGTATATAAGCATAAACGAATTCCGGATCAAGCTCTATTCTACGTTGATAATCATCAATGGCTTTTGAATATTCATTACTTAAAAAGTATACTATATATATATATATATATAATTATTTATTCATTTAAAAAACATTAGTAATGTTAGAATTTTATAAATAATTTAGTTTCATACTAAAATTTGTTTACCTTGTCCTCTAATGTTATAAGATTAAAAATTAAGATTAATAAGCGTGATAAATTATAATATAATGTCATTATAATAATTATTTGATCACCTGTGATAATATATATCAGGGTCATTCTCGTCAATTTCAATAGCCTTAGAAAATTCATCCAAGCATTCTTCAAGTTTTTCTAACAAAAACAGAAAAAATAATAATTGCTAATTAATGAATCCTCAATCAACCAACCAGCTATTCAACCAATACAATCAATATTATTAAATTCCATACTTACTGCCCTGTTCTGTATAAACTGTTGCACGTTTAATATGAACTTGTACATAATTCGGCTTCAACTCGAGAGCCTTTTCAAAATAGCTTAATGAACCTTCAAAATCCCCCATTAAGTAAGCAAAGGTTCCTCGCATATTATAAGCATAGTCAAGGTGTTCACATTTGAGTTCAATGGCTTGATCAAAAGCTTTCATTGCATCATTATATTTTTGCTGTGACAAGAACTCTTGTGCATCATTAAAATAATCATCGCCAGTTTTATCCTCTTGAGAAATCACAGGTCGAGTATCTGTCGCATCAAAAGCCACTAAAAATTTGTTTTTGATATACTCATTAATACATACTCGCACGATAGTTTGTTATTATTATTAGAAAATATAAATAAATACTTTTTTGGAATGTTTCCAAATGTAAAGAAATCATCGTTGAAGATGGGAGGCGTTTTGGTCTAGTCTTTGATAAGGATAACAATGAAACCTATGTCGTAAATTCAAAAACCACGAATATATATGTGTGATTTGTAAATAACCTGCATTATTTCTTGAGCTTTGTTAGTAGCTATTATCCTTAAAAGGCGTTCGATAGCCCTAACAGAGGTTTCATTTTTATAATCATTGATTATACATGCAGCAGTATAATCTTTTAAAAATAAATATAAACGTGTATGTGCGTTAAAATATATATTGAATTTTCGATCAATTTTTCATGTAATAAAAAATCAAATACCATGTAAAGCTTCTTCATATTGTGAAAGATTTTCATAAGCCATTGCTCTTCTGTTCAATGCTTTAACATAATAAGGATCCAATTCCAATGAATTGGTACAATCTTCAATAACTTTCTGAAATTCATTTTTATTATAATAGCATGCTGCTCGATTGCCGTAAAATATAGGATCTTGATTAAATGCAAGTGCTTGTGTATAGAGCTTAATGCCCCTTTCATAATCTCCTTTGCCAAAAACAGTGTTACCGCGAGTTTTAAGTAACTGTGAAGCTGCTATTCGCTTCTATTAATATATAGAAAATTTTTTTAAATAAATACTATCACTTGGAATTCTATATTTATTACTTATTTATTTCAACTTGTAAATACCTCTTTTGGTAAAGCATTTATTTGGTCAATGGTATACCTTTCATACTCTTCGGCCTCTGCATCCTCTCTTGCAGTTCCTGATAAAAGCATTTAAAATTAGAATGATCAATGAATAAAATGTTAATCAACATTTTTTTATCAGAATAAAAAAAACAATATAAAATCATATATAAAATTGAATAGATTGCCTGTTGATTCTTTTTTCCCACTTGATGATGTTGACTTATTAGTTTTTGGTCCTTTTTTACGAGAAGTTGATCGTGTTCTTGGTTTTGGTGGCTTGGGAGTTCGAAGGAAATATAGACCAACCCCAGTTAAAATCACTGTGGTAGTAAGCCCTATCCCAATATAAAATACGTATCCTTTATCATTAAAATATTCTTTGATGGATTTGGCATAAGGTATTAGTTGGTTGGTCTTAACAGGCGTATCAGACGCGACATTAGAAGAGAGAGACATTTTTTCTAAAAAAATATTTTTACAGATCTGTCATACATCAAAATAAATGATCTCCGACATTTCCATTTCCAAAATTGGAATTTCCCAATTAATGGGAAAATTGATTATTTTCTACCAAGCAGTGCACGAGATTCTTTGTGAAGACTGACAGTAATTACTATTACTAAAAGTTTTTTTTTGTGATGAGCTTATTCAATTTGGCTTTGAAAAGATTAATGTTAATAATAATCAACGTAACCACAGGTATATTCTATATAAATCAATCAATCTAATAAAGTTGGTTCAATTGCTTATATAGATCTGGTAATTCTTCGGATCTTGTGAAACATCAATTATTGGAAAATGAAACTCATAAAAAGAAATTTAATTCAAATTGGTTTCTGTAAAACATAAAAGAGTTGTGTATGTAAATTTAATAATAATATAATTATATAAGATCTACAAATATTTCTTGTGTCTCAGCATTATTAAGACATATGAACTCTGTGGATTATTTTGAGGCAGAACAATTGGGAATTTCAAGAATAATCATAGAAAATTTTCATGATAAAATTTTTTAAACATAATTTCTGTCATGAAGATTATATTTTTATCAAAAAATGACACGACTTTAAGAAAGCTTCCATCTCATGTACAACTAACGATTAAATTAGGTGCAATTTATATTACTGAAGGATCAGTTACATATTCTAATGATGAAATTCTAATAGCCATTTCAAAACTCTTGAAGAACACATTTAGAATTAGAGGTATGAACTTTTGGTATAATGATTGATGAATTGAATGATATACAAGTGACAAAACATTTAGATATTTATGTTATTGGAGTTGGTCACAACCCGCATTTAAAAATCTTATTGAGCTAGGGTTCTTATTTGTAATACAGCTCAATTAATTCAAATACTTATATCTAATACCTCAATAACATAATAAAGATGCTTCATTTCCATAAAAGGGTTTTTATAATAATTCAAAAAAAAACAACATTTCAAAATTTATTATCATTGAAGAGAGAAAATTTTGTATTAAGAACTTATTTTGAATTACATAGTAATGCTATACCAATTGCAAATGATATTTATAATGACACTTTGTCAAACATATCTAGAAGAAAACTTCATATGGTTACATTTTTACCATTAGTAGCTGAAAATGAAAATCTTTCAAAAATTAAGTAATGCAACTTATAAATGGGGTGAATTAAAGGAATTCCCTAATTGTAAATTAGACAGGTGTTCAGATAGGTTTTGTGAAAACTATTCGCTTACATTTACAGAGGCATTTTGATACATGGTCATCTGGAAACAGCACCATTGATAATTTTATTCAAGTATGTCAAATGCTTTCATTTCTTCCAACACATATTATGGAATGGATCCCATTTGATCAATTTTATGATGTCAAATATTTTACTAAAGGAGGTTTTAGTAGCATTTATACTGCTACATGGAGAAAAGGACATATAATTGACTATGATGAAAATAAAAAAGAATTTTTTTATTTATGGAACTCAAGGTGTAGTATTAAAACAACTAAATAATTCAAATGAGTTAGGGAAAAATTTTTTAAATGAGGTCTGCAGTACATTATTTTAAATTAAAAAACATTATATTAAAAATTATATTAATTGATTTTCATATAATCTTTCAGGCATCAAATTATTCTAAAATTAAATCAAAGATTGATTGTTCAATGTTTTGGTATAACAAAGTTTCCAGAAAATAATAATTATGCAATGGTTCTACATTATATTCCAGAAGGAAATTTAAGAGATTATTTGCAAAAAAATCATTCAACTTTAACTTAAAACATAGAATTATAATCTTCAGATGTTTATGCGACTCTTTAGATGCTATACATGAAAATGGCTTAATACATCGTGATTTACACAGTGGTAATATATTAGTAGAAGGAAGCTGGTGTTTTATTATACAGATTTGGGATTATGTGAACCAGTTGATGATGAATCATTAAATAAAATATATGGAATCATACCATATGTTGCACCTGAAGTTCTTCGAAAAACAAGTAAAAATACAAAAGAATCAGATATATAATATCGGAATGTTGATGTGGGAGATACTTTAAGGACACCCACCTTTTTGTGGTAGAGCACATGATCATAATTTAATTATGGAAATTTGTAAAGGTTTAAGACCACCGATTTTATCAAATATGCCAGAATAATATGCAAAAATAATGCAAAAGTGTTGGGATGTTGACCCATCTAAAAGACCAATTATTAAAAGGCTTCATAATTTTGCTTATGCTTATTTAATGAAAGTTTATAAAATTGAAAATTTGAGTAATGAAACTATAATTTCTACTACAAGCAATCCAAATAATTAGCATATCATTCAAGTAGAATATTAGATGATGATATTGATAGATACATATGTATAGAAGTTTCAAAATGATTTTGAACTTGGTTCAGTATCTGATCATTCAAGCAAAATATTAGATGACAATATTGCTGAATATAAAAGTTTACAAGATGATCTTGAACTTGGTCCAGTATCTAAAGTTGTTGATAATTAATTGTTAATTTTTTACTGATTTTTAATTTTTCAATTAAAATTAGATTCTAGTAACAATGGTAGAGGAAATGGTATAGAAATGATGGATGTGATTGATGAAATTAATGAGACTAGTACTAACGAAATGAATGTGGAATGGAATTAAAGAAATATTTAAATGTTTGAAATTAAGTAAGGAATGAATAATCAATGAAATTTTTAAAACAGTTGAAATCAGTAATGATTCAATAAATTTAAGTTTCCATTCTATTTGTAATTTTTTATTTATAATTATGATTTAGTAATGTATTGTTATTATTATTTATTTTTTATAACAAATAAATAAAATTTTACATTAAATAATTCATATATATTAATATCTTTTTTAACATACAAACCGAAAATTTGCTTTTCTAAATTTCACAAATCACCTTTTTATTTACAATTTTTGGCTGTGAGGGCAATATTCGGATTCTTTGCCACACATTATTATTTATATTGCACTGCTCTTCCGATTTATTTAGGTTATTTATATAAAGGTATTCGATTGATTTTTGTTTGATTTATCAAACAATTTAAAGGTAGAAGGAAATCATGTGATTTTATATCTTTATCAATGAGAAGTTCATTCACAAGGTAAGCGACGGTATTGCTGTATTAGACTTGTTCGTATGTAAATTTAGAAGCATTCTAATTTAAAAATACAGAGTATTTCAAATGTGTTAGTATCAACTATCAACTGGTTGAGTTGAGAGATGAGTTGGGAGTAGAAAGAATAACAAGATAATATATCTTTCGATTTTACATATTTATTCATTGTGGAAAACATATGCTATAGAAACAAAAAATTAAAATTTTTTTTTACTTGGTATTTTTACAAATGATTATTGGAAATTAGGCGTATTAACTTCACGATTTGTTTTTAAAAGGGAAACATGAGAAGGAACAGGAAAATATTTGTTACGATAACCCGTTTATTGTGGCATTTGTCAAAGAAAGTGGCGGAAGAAAAGGAGTGTTATATTATTTAATGGCCATATAATAGTTAAATTGTTAAACTTTTAATTTTTACGTTATTCATTTTACCACCTTCAATAAAATAAATTTTATTTTTTTTATCCTGATATTATATCAAAAAATCCACATTAGTGTATAAACTTATTTCGCGAGACAAAATTTTTGCACGTTATCTGATTATCCGGACTAAAAAGTTAACGGGACATAATTTTCCCATATTAATATTAATATGTAAATATGTAATGGAAGGTTTTTCCTATATACCAGGATTATACAAGTCTGGGTATAATCATATCAGAAGGTTCATTGTTCCATTCGTAACCAATCAAATCAAACTTCTTATATGATACCTGTTGTAAATCTGTAAATCCCTAAATTTTTTAAAAAAAATTTTTTTCTATGACGGATCATTTTTTTTTGTAATTTATTCATATAATAAATAAAATACATAATGTCTGAAAATACTGTTACTGCTGATGGCACTAGTGATAAAGACGCTGGCATTAAGAATAATAATGATAATAATGTAGAGAAAAGTCCTAGTAGTGTTAATGGTAGCGATAAAGAAAGAAGACGTCGTTCTACAAGTGATATCGAGAGAAGACGTCGTCGTCAACAAAAAATTTTAGGGGAGGCAGGTAATAGATTATCAAAGATTACCTTTACATACTCTTCGCTTGGTGGAGATGCTCCTAGTTGTGGTGGTGTTGGTGGTGGTGGTAGCCACTCAACGTTAACAACATCTTTTACCGGTAGATCTCTACAACATTCTCCAACCAGTGAAAATGCACCAGATAATAGTCCTTTTTCGCGTAGTAGTAGAAGATATACTGGTAATTTCGAAGCATACAGTGGTAGTGGTGGCAGTAATAATGATTATTTTTCAGTAGACAGTAATAATAACAATTATAATAATTATGATTCATCGCCAACACCACATACAAGAATTAGTGATGATATTAGTACGGGATTAGATTTACACGGATCAATTTCAAGACAATTAAATACGTTATCAGGAAATGAGGAACTATTATTATCACAAAGGAATAATAATAATGAATTTTATAGAAACATGTTAGAAAATCGTCAACATCAAGGAAGAAATAGTAACACCACATCTTTTGCATCACCGATTGGCGAATACGAATACTCGCCACGATTCCCATTGTCAACAGATGACACAGATATTTTTCTAAATCAACAATTAGAACAAATGCCATTACCATTTCCGCCATTTCTTAACCCTGATATGAGGATTTTTTCACTATTTGGTGATAGTGGTAGTAGCAATGTTGACAATGATATAAATAATATTAATGATGGTGGTAGTAGTAGCGATGATGGTGGTAATGGCCGTAGTAGTGGTAGCATTCAATTATTATTACAATCTAGATTCTGGAAATTTATTCATTTTGTATCAATGATTTTCTTGGGAATATATTTTATATCTAGCGAGTTATTAAGGTTGCAAGGTGGTTTGACTAGATTTTATTATTTAAATTATGAAAAACCTGATGATATATTAGTAATCAATCGAATCCATAGTGTGCCATTATTTTGGTATTTTATAACAGCTGAGTTAATATTACAATCTACGAGATTATTATTACAAAAGGTAAATAAAATTTGATATTATTACACACATACACAATATATTCGACACATCCATTGACTTCTCTCTTCTCTCCCCATTTATTGATTAGGATCAACTATTTCAAGGTTCAACATTGGGAAGCCTAGCAGCTAATTTACCTGCACCATTTCCAGATATAATTAAAATTTTAATAAGATATCGATTAATATGGAATAGTTTATGGGAAGATGTTTGTGTCTTGGTGTTTGTAGTAGGATTTTTTATAACAATTTCCCCTATATTAACATACTTTGATTAACAATAATCTTGATTTGTTAGTTCACCTTTATGATTCGATATATTATTTTTAATCTATTTTTTTATTAGATTAGTAAGTCAAGTCAAAAAAGATAGAATAATTAAACAAAAGGGAAAATTTTGCTTATTTATAACGCAAAAAAATTTCCTTTTCTCTTTAATATTAAATTATTAAAGCTGTCTAAAACCACTTTTCATCAACATCACAAAATGTTATATATTTCCTTACAAAAAATAAATATCAAATCATAATAATAATAATAATAATAATAATAATAATAATAATAATAACAACAACAATCATCACAAATAATCTATATAACCACCCAATTCTTTTTCCAATTGTTCATCTATTTCCATGACTTCTGATTTTATAATTGCATGCTGACTAGCAGTGTACGAATCATAATTATTTTGTGATGATTGTATTGAATCACGATCAGGGACTGATAAACTAACATTTAACACAGAGGATAATTGAAGGAGGAAGAGGTTGGGATTGTGTATGAATGTGAGTGCAAGTGAAAGAAAATTAGGGAAGATAAATTGTTAATAAATAAAAAAATTTCAATATATATTTATAATATGAATAATTAAACAAACAATTCACCTTGGTTTCCGTGCTAATTGTGTTCCATTAACGGTTAATGCTGCTTGTCTAGACGTTTTATAAGACATTACTTCTTGAGCAATCATTTCTATTATTATGATATATAATTAATTATTATCAATTTTATTTAATTGTTTAATTATTAAATTCATATCGTCATCATTATCATCATCATCATCATCACTCACTTTTCATTTCTTCTATTGAGTCAACCGCTTCAAAAGAAAAGTTAAATATATGCTCGTGTGATGGCTATTATAATCAAGATATATTAATAATATATATAACATATATAATATATAACAATAATAATAGTAACAATAAATAACCTCATCCTCTTCATCATGATAAGCAGCCAAATATGGATGAGCAAGAGCTTGTTCAACTGTGATTCTTGTTTCAGGATCAAACGTTAAAAGGTTTTCTAGTAGATCAAGTGCTTTTAACAAATAAAAATAAAAATATCAACATTAATAATACAGTAAAAGATCATTTCCATATTATATTAATACTTACCTAAAGGACTTGCCTTTGTATAAAACTGTGAAAATGGAACTTTTTTCATTTTTGGAAGACTACGAATATAAATTTGAGCCTTTAATTCAAAAATACAATATTATTATTATTAGCAAAATTATCTTCTTTTTAGAAAATAATGACTCAATTAATCAACATCAGTAATCATCATCATCAACCAACCCTTTCACTCCCAACTCTACATAAAGTTTCTTCATCAGGTGTGCCCAAAATATTTAAAATTTGATTAAGTTGATCAACATAGTCACGTCCTTTAAATAAAGGTTTTCCGCCAAGCATTTCTGCAAAAATGCATCCAACTGACCACATATCGACTAACAAAATAAGAAACAACTCATCAGTGATATACAATTATCATCATTGTCATCATTATCAGTTGTTTTGGAATTAAAAAAATCCAAAATTTCCAAAATAATTGTATACAAATAGATAAACAAATAAACAGATGGATAGATTATATGGAAAAAAACTTACTGGCTTTTGTATAATTTTGAAAGCTTAACATGATTTCAGGAGCTCTATACCAACGCGTTGCAACATATTCAGTCATAAATTTTGAATTATGATCTGGTGAATCGGAAAATCCTCGTGCAAGACCAAAATCACAAATCTATTTACAATTATGCGTGTGTATTAGTACGAATTTGTCAGTTAGGATAATAACATATATTATAGTCACTTTAATCATTTTACCTTGAGCTCACAATCAGCATTTACTAATAAATTACCTTTTTGAATAAATATTTGATAATTAAAAAAAAATGTAATTTAATTGATGAATACAATTATTATTATTATTTTATATCTTTAAACCAACCAGGTTTTAAATCTCTGTGTAAGACATTCGCAGAATGAATATACTTTAATCCCCGACAAATTTGATATATAAAATATTGAAAATGTGCATCAGTAAGTGGTTGTTCTGAACGTATAATTTGATGAAGATCGGCTTCCATGAGCTCTTGAAACAAATATCTACATAGTTAATTAATTGTTTAATCATTTAGATTTCGAAGATGATGAGATGATGTTATATATATATATATATAAATATATAAATAGAATCATCTATATATAATTTAAACAAACAATTTGGTCAGATGGTGCACGTTACATTTCGTTAAAATCATTAATGTCTGTTATATCCATATCTATGATTGATGTAATCTAACAAATAATAATAATATTTGACCATTAGTATTAATTACCAATAAAAAGCAACAATTATAACAAATTTACCAACATTTTCATGTCCATTAAAGTGCTTTAATAGCTTTACTTCTCGTAAAGCACGTTTAGCCAAAATGTTTTTATCAAAAACTTTAGTAACTTTCTTGATGGCAACACTCTCTCCTGCTTCAATATCTTTGGCTGCACTATTGTGTAACAAAGTATTAATGAAATGAAGATTGTTGAGATTCAAAAGGAACAGGAAAATAACCAACTTAAAAAACATTAGTTACCACACAACACCATAAGCTCCTTGGCCTAACTCACGAATAAATTCATATTTATCGTCAACAAGGAAATTTTGATTGAGTACAGGGAATGTGTGGTATGGCATTTTATTTCTCGTATTATTGATTTGTTTTTGGCTGTATGTGAAAATTGATTGAATTTAAAAATTGAAAATTGAAATTGAAATTGAAATTAAAATTTGAAAAAATAAAATCTATATATAATGGAGGGCGAAATTTCTTTTTGATTGGCCAATTTTAATTTTCACGTATGTTAATTGCACGCATATTTCTAAAAAAGATTATAGCGGACAAGGTAGCCAATTGCTATTGGTCAATATTGTCTAGGGACATTTTGTGCTTGTTCGCTACATCTGTTACATTATCGCTCAACGAAATGACTTGAAGGCCTTTCTCGGCAATTTTACAAAGAATGAGTCCAAATCAAGTTTAAGAACTCTTTTTTTTTTTTTTACTATTATCTTGCATTAATTTATTATTAGTCTTTATTAAATAATTATTATAACCCATCTGATTTTCACGATATTACCAGATTCTTACCATTTATTCATTTTATTCATTTCCATTTGCCCCATTTTATCTCCCTTTGTCAATGGTTTATTCTTTTTAGGAGAACTAGGAAAAATAGAATTAGAGCGTGAAACAAATTCGTAAATTTCCGAATCACTTAATTTTTGATCCGAATCATTATTCTATTGCATATAACTATAAAAATTGCAACACAAGCAGGGGTTTTAAAATTCGTAATCTATTTATAAATAAATATTAACTCCAAAAAAAATAAAATAAATTGTCAGCCTTGTAAAAACAATTGTTTTGAAAGAAACATTTCGTAAAACTTCGACTACAAAATACTCAAAAGCCATCGAGTAGACGCGACTTGCGTATTAAGTAAAAATTGCTCCACGGGCATAAAATAACTTGGATATTAAATTACAATAGTTGGAGATCCGAACTGAGTCACGAATTGAATTGGGCTGAATCGGTTTAAAATTTGGTTCGATTCATTTGGGGCTTTAATCTATATAGATCGGTTCTTTAACATTAAACTTTGAGCCAGTATATCTAATCACCTATAGGTAGCGTACCGGAGGTCAATCTTGCTACTATTTTAAATGCCCCACTAGAGATCCTTTCTTCCTCTCGGGCGAGTATTTAAAATTAACTTGTCATTTGCAAATAACTTTAGCTTGGAAAAAATTGAAATTAGTTTAATAATGCTATATTTCCACTTTCCAAATTTCCAACATAAAATATGAGTAATTGACTCGTTCTAGATTTCCTCGATTAAATATCTTCCGTGCACTATATCATGTTCGTTGCGAATTAGTGAGAGTAAAATATCTCTGCATTTAAAATAAACGAGTTTAATAAAATCTAATCGATATTCTATCTTAAAGATACCCTAACTTGTTGAATAATCAAAAAATTTGCTTCAAAATATTACTAAAAAAACATGTCTTTGATTAATTCAACATCAGAATACAATTCATTAACATCAGTATTAGTATTTAGAGTCTTCCCTTGCATTGTAAACAAAAAGTAACTTCTAACCAAATTTGGAAACTGTTTCCTACAAATTATTCTTGTTTGTTCCACCAGTTCTAGTGTTTGTTTTATTCGTTTATTATTATTATTGTTGTTCGCACGTTTATTCAATACAAATAAATCTAATAATTCATAAAACAAATAAATAATTCGAATATTATTATGCACATTGCTAATCCAATCCAATTTTCTTTATCAGTTCTATTTCCCCTTTATAGTGATATAATAATAGTAAAAGTAATTGACGGTTTTTCTTTTCTTTAGTCAATTAATAATGATAATAATTGTTTTTTTCCCTTGTAGAAATAATGATTGGTAGAGGTAAGTTATTCTTTTTTCTACTAGCAAATAGTCATTGTAGAATAACAGATAAGAATTTCTATTACAAATAAAAAACTCTTGTTTCACCACATAAAAAAATTTCACATATTAATATTTAAAGAAAAGCTTTACTTGTATTCCCAGTCGTGTAACCAAAGAAATCTTTTCACTCAATCATAGACTGTTGGTCGATTAAAAACTTTGATAAAAATCTTTCTATATATTAAAAGCACAATTGATGATTTTTCAATTCGAAAGAAATGTCGACGAAGATAATATAATTATAATTGACCATTCAAATTTGTCAACATGAGCATTTGTTGATTTAGAATTACACGGACTGTCATATCATATTGATGAGGATCTGGATTATTATAATTAGGTAATTCCAGGCTATTAGTAGATTTTAGAAAACGTTACATGTAACATTTTCTCTCCTTTACCCATTTTAGTATATAACATGTCAAAAAAATCAAAAACTTTACCCATATGTAACCTTAATAAACCACCCATATCTGAATCTAATATAGTATTATGATTAACAAGATAAAATAAAAACATTATTTGAAGTAATATAAAATTTACTTGAAATGGAAAACTTTCTATATATCAATTACAATTTTAACCCTTGTGCATGTTTCCTATTTTGCATTGCCTGATTTGGATAATAAAATTTTCTGCTGTACCCAAAACAGTCGCACCACATATTTAAAAGTCTTTGCCCAAGTTTTCATGTAACTTCAGCAAAAAACTTTATCAAAACCAGATGTTACCTCAATTATAATAATAATCTGAATCCTCCTCCAATGAGACTATTTATTTATTTAGGAACTTTTGGAGGCTTTGGAATCAATTAACACCACATATAAATTTTTAAAGTCTTCAAGTGACCTATATACAACTTGTGAAACTTTTAGATTACGTAGAATTAAATTAACTCACATCTGCTATGATTGGACTCAAAGTGTTACTGTACCATACTCACCTCAATAAGTTGGTCCAACTTATTTTAAATCCTTTTGGAATGCGTATTCAATAAGATAATGGTAACACAATGGGAGTATACGAACTTCTAGAAGGAACATCAAAAGGACTTTAAATATGGGCCTGGGTTTCTTCAAAAGATTCGTCATGATGGTGAAAAGACCTGTGATAATTGTTCAGGTCATAATAAAATATAACTTATCATTTTTTTTGATTTTTTTATTTATATTATTTATTATCATATTTATATCACATAGTTAGTTTGTATTTTTCATGCACATGAATGGTGAATCATTTTTTCTTGATAATAATAATTTAATATCATAAATTATTCGCTGGTAGTCAATTTATTTTATTGCAATAAATCTATTAGATATAAAAATGGTTTTTGCTGGCTTTAATTCAATACTTAAAACATGGAATGAATGTCAGCAGAGCCCAATATAACTCGCTGTATCAGGAAACAAAGAAACGAGTAATGTAATGTAATTAATACTCCTTGATTCCCCTGCTTTATAATTTTTGTCGCGCAGCTCCATTAAAATTATGTTATATTTATTATTATAACATTATTTATCCTAAAATCAATTCAAAAGTATAAGTTTTACATTATATAACTTTTGCACAAAACACACAAGAATATATATTTTGAATATATTATTAGCTTATTAATCAAAAAATTTTCCCGTTGTCCAAACTCAAGGTCGCTTGTGATATAATTAAAGTGATATGTGGGTTCATCTTTAAGGTTGATAAAACATACAGTGTGAAGTTGTTGATTGTTGAGAACAACTTTGCTTCCGATTGTTAAATCTTCAAAATCCCCAATTTTGCTTTAGTGTGATTGTGGTTACAGAACCGGTCACGATTAAAGAAGTATAAACATTGCAAAATGTCCCAATTTTCATTTTCATGTCCCTTCCTCTAAGGGATTTGGTGAAATCGACTATGTAAGTAAATAATTCTCCAGCCATCACGACGATTGGACGTTGATACCGTCAACCGTCTAAAATAATTTTTTTTAATGTTAACCATCAATCTTTGTGCTACAAATTTTTAGTATACAAATACCAAAACATATTAATATATATTAACGATGAAATAAATGCGAGTAATGCTACTGCCACTAGATGAGACTTATAACTAGAGTTTATATTTGTAATACAAATTCTTATTCGAATTATTCTTAATACAACTCGTTTCATTCGTTTCATGGTTTTATTCGAATAAACATCTATCCAATGTAATTCGAATACTCAAATTCATAATTAATTCTTATTCAAAATAGAAACCCTACTGTAACCATTTGCTATAGAAAAAAAATTACTATTATCATTATCATCACTACGAGGATTACAAAGGAAAAATGGAACTGATAAAGAATTTTTTTTTTTTAGTTTGGATGGTGCATATACCATTATTCGAATAAAAACAAAATTTTTTTGAATTGATCGGCAAGATATCTCAAATATTTATACCATCTCATTTGCGCATGTTCGATTGAATGTTTCCTTATTTTTGCTTCATTTTCTAGATGTACTTAAAATTTTGATGAGAAATAGTTTATTCTTATATTAAATAAGGAACTACATAGGGAGTGTATATACAAATCCAAATTTTATCAAGTGAAATGGGCAAGGATTCTAAGCTAAAATGCTCTTCGCAATGGGATCTTTATAATTATTTCCAAAATAATTTACATTCGAAACAATTTAACAAAATTTTTAGTGGGTATTAAGTTATCTCGTGTGATATCCATTTTTCTCAGATATCGAATAAGTGAACGAGTTAGAGCAGACTCCAAATCTACATTTCCTGCATAGCGAAGTCTTTAATTTTTTTACATGGAATGTTTATTGAGATTTATTTTATTCGATAATCATGTGACACATGGACAATTAGTGATTTAGAAAAAGTCTTATTTGTGTCGAAGGATGATATAACTTTTACAAATGAACAAACTTGACAATTTGCAACATTTTACTCTATGGAAACGCGTCAATATTATGAATATGAAGTACAGTACAGCCATTGTTTCAACGGACTTCGTTCAATGGATTTTAAAAATCTTTGTTACTATTACATATTATTATGAAAACATATAAAAATTCTTTGAAACACGATTAGTAATAGCAATTTCGTTTCAATGGATTTTAAATGGAATTTTCTTGTGTGTACAGCCATTCTATTGAAATGAGGATTATACTGTACAGTCATATATTTTCGTAAAGAAGACTTATTTATTTATTCAAGTATAATAGCATGTAAAAAAATTTTTTATCCTTAAGATAAAGATAAAAATCAAAAGAATAATTTCAATCGGCCAATTTCAGAAAATAACTTCCTGGTCCTAAAGTAACGTTATCAGCTCCATAGGTATCTACCAAGTGCTTATTCAAACAAGTAGTATCATTAATGCATGACTCGTTATTACTAACAACCCAAAATTCGAATTGCCTGGTTTTGTCCTTTGCAACTTGCTGAGCCAGGTCGAACCCTTTAAAAAATGATTTTAACTTTTCATTGCTGTTAAGAAGTTGGGGCTTCATCTTAAAAATCACTTTCGTAGGCAAAGTTTTGTTAGATTTCTCAGTATCAGTTGTATCATCATTATTGTCATCAGTAATGGAAACATATTCTTCCAATTCTGCCAACCCCTCAGCATTTGATTCCAATATATGTAGCAATGCTGTAGCAATTGCGCTAGCAAATATACCAGTGGCAATAACTCCTCCAATACCCAAACCAGCGGCACCAATTGATTGTAAAATCGCCACAAGACTACCAGCAGCTACAGTTCCACGATGTAATGACATAAGCCATGCTGCAATAGATCCAGCTGCAATACCGGCTTCTCCAAATCCTAATGCTCCCACTACTCCTCCCACTACTCCACCAATTACAACAGGACCCAGAGCAAAACCAGCAATCGTTGCAGTGGTTGTAATCAACATCGTTTTATGTTTTATAAAAAAATTTTTTGCACGTTCGCTGGCGTTTTCTTGTGGTGGGGGTGGCTGTGGTGGTGGGTTTATAAACCCATCCCTCATGAAAGTATCAAGAATTATGCCTTTAAAAATGTTTGCAAGTGGAATGTCAGATAAACTTGCCATTTTCTATTAAAAAAAATTTTTTTTGTTTATTTTTTTTTTTACCAAAAAAAGAATCAATAAGCTGCCCCACCCCATTCTTAGATCACAAAACATAGATGACTACAATGCGTGTCACAGTAACACGTATATAGCTTAGTGAAGATTTTATTTAGGTAATACCATTCATTTAAAAATCGAGTTTGTTTACGCCTGTTATAATGACACTCACTATTTAAATCCAATAATAATACCTACACTCATTGTAATGACATATCAGAGAATCGATTAAAATCAATCATGATTAAATAATCAATAAAATATTGATTAGTTAAGAGCGAAACTATTATTTATTCTTGGGAAAAGGTTACATTTTACCAAAAGACGATTTAAATGATTATATTAATTATAAATAGCGAGAATTAGAATTGCAAAATATAATGAATGAATAGTATAAAGAATACATAACAACTGAAGACTATATTAATTGTAATAACACTTATGAAATTGAAGCAATGCCTGGATTATCGCTGTTGTTTTAAATAAAGAAGAGGAAGAAAATATTATTCATATTAATATTAATGATGTATTGAAAACTTGTGTAAACCTTCTTACTTATATATACAACAAGAACAAGAACCAAAGTTTATAGTGGAGGATTACATTACAAGAATTACGTGTAAAAAAAATCAGAATTTTAGAGAAGCTAAACAAATCAGTTAATTTTTATGTTCAAAATAATTAATAAAAATAAAAACTAAATTATAAAAGATTCTTCTTACATGCATTTATATGAACTCTCGTTATAATGACAATCTCGTTATACTGACATTTTTTGTTTGCACGGAGAATGTCATTTCCTTGCGCACTTTCATTAGGATATGTTTAGATTTAAAGATTACATATGAAGTGAAAAATTGCATAATTTTTAGTCAAATCAATGGAATTCAGTATAAAATATATAACAATGGTAATTTTGTTGAAAGTAGACGCTAGTCTTTTTCAAGCATTTCATTAAGCAATCTCGATTTATGTTTTTATTGTGATTATCATTTCGTTTCCTTTTTTTTTTATAACAAACTAGAAGTGCCATCACAGTATATTTATTTATCCATGGACAGTTATCACTTCTATTTTTAGCACCAATCCAAAACATTTGGATTTAAATGGTCAAGAAAAAAGTGTATTGGAGGGAGAACTGTTTTCCTCGATGCTCTCTTACCATCAATTTCGAAATAGCATGTTTCTTTCCGAACAATGATTTTGTTAATACTGGGTCAAGGCGAGAAAGGTCACTTTGACATTTTTTTCATCACAACTATTCCAATGGTTTCATTACTGAATGGCTTATACCCACCTTAAACATTTTTTTGAAAAGCTTTAATTAAAAATCATTAACTATTATTATTATTATTAATTTACATACATATTCTATGTTGTTATCGTATTCACATCGACCTACAAAATAAACCAACGTGACTTTCCCGAAGTCGACCACTTTATAATTGTTGAAAACTCCCTTTCTCTGAACGTGATTGTACTTGATTTATACAGAGCGTTTCTACTTGTCACATTTTCAGTGGCATATGAGAAACAAATTTTTGTGAGACACCCCTTGTTTTCAAAAGTTACACAAATTTTTTATTTTTATTGAATAAATTTTCTTGTTCATTTACCATTTACAATACAATGATCTGAGATTTCTCTGAAACATTTTTAATTTAATCCTCTTGATTTTCTTCGTTTAACTCATGTTTCAAATGAGAATAGTAGCAAAGATGAAGAAATGAAAGCATTTGAAATTGAAAAAACGCGTCAAGGACCACTTATAACTGCTACTTTTTCCGCTTTCTCTGAATCTGGATCTGCAATAACTTCACCTACCTACAACAATTTGTGCAATTCACCTTGCAGTTGATGGTGAAGATACAAGTCAAGTTGAAAACATTATTGATAATAATCATTTAAATGAAGACGATTATATGTTGCATTTGGTTTTTTTGTTTGGAAAAAAAAATTCTAATTTTTACATTTACTTGCCTATTTAAATATAAATTCAATTTATTATTTATCTAGTGGTGAAGAAGACAACAATGGAATTATTGAACATTCATAACAATGATCGTGTCATATATTCACTGAAAGTTGGTGACACTTGCGACAAGTTGAAGCATTTTTGTACAATCACTCTTTGAACAAATACTCAGTTTTGTAAACAACTACAAGTAATATTATACGAATTCTTGGAAATAAATAACCAAAGAACGTAATAAACAAAAGCAACGTGTATAATGAATGCAGTTGCAAAAAAAATAAGAATGATGTATATTTAATGATAGATGTGTTTTTAAATACCAGGAGGAGAATAGATGGAAAATATACGTCAGACATAATATTACCTAATTATCAGCTTACTGGTATCTTTTGGATGACAGATGTACATTTAAATTTATATGAAAGATGTAAAACAAATACAACATGCAATTTTTGGTTTTTGCTATAGTTGACAATAACACTATGTCTAGCTAGAATAGTAGCTCAAGCCTTAATAATAGATGAAACTCTTGATTACAATGACCATGGGTGGTTATTGTATAAATAGAGAGGGCGATTATTTTAACTACTAGTTACGAATAAAATCCTCTTTATATAATTAAAAAAGGCTTAATTATTTAACAGTGGCTTAATTATTTTATTTATACAATAATAAATAAATACCAAAACCAATCAATTCATAATCAGTTTAAGTTTTTTTTTTTTTATTGGTCTGACATCTTTTTTTTTATTTATTATAAATAGAACTTCTATCCGTTTAAAAAAATTTTGGCAACACTTAACTTAACGTTAACATTAACATCAGCATCAATATCAATATCAAAAATAATATCAAAATTAACGTTAACTACACCCTATATACACAACGCAATCATTTTCATAACGCTTAAAAGTTAAATACGTTGCGCTAAATTAAAGTCATCATATTCTTTCGTTAACTAATAAACTCATTAAATAACTATAATCTATGTGTGATAAACAAATATACAAGATAAATAATGATGAAATAACTATATTATATAAATAAATATGACAAATAATTAATAAAAAAAATCCCAAATTAAATAAATTGTTGATCATCTGGTGATGACGTTAGATAATAGTCTTTGCCATTTTCTAAAAATTTTATTTTTAAAGGTTTAGGCCGTTTCCAATTCTTAGTTAGAGCCTCCAATGTATCGTCATCAGAAGAAAAACCATAATCAAAATATATAGTATTTAGATTTTTTGGTAATGTTTGATTTAATATATTGAATACTTCCTCAACATCTACATTACTAACACATACTTTAACTAACGTGATGTGTTTCAATTTAGTGCAATTATTAAATATACAAGTTAGCTCATGGTTTACTTGGTTGTTGTAAAATATTTCTAAACATTCTAGATTTTTACAATGTTGTTCAATTGATATAATCAAATTTCCCAAAGAACGAATGTCAATAGGCCTACCACGGATTTTCAAAGATTTAATATTTTTTCCGTTGATGTTGTTAATGAAATCTGACAATTCCAAAAAATGTAGCTGGGTAAGATCCAAATGTAATACTTGAAGATTTTGCAAAACAAAATATTGAAAATTTATCTCATCATAATTATAAAGGTTTTTTGAATAGTCATGCAATGTTAATGTTTCCAAATTTGGAAACATTGGTATTAAAGAATTTGAAACCTTTATGTCGTTGCTTTGAAATGAAATTATTGATTTTGAATGAATAGAAATTGCATTCTTGAAATCATTTGATAAAATTAAAGTGCCATATACTTTAACAACCAATTCTTTAATTTGTTGTTGTGCTTTAATTAGTAGAGCTAGGCTACGAACAGCCTTATCACTATCTGAAGAGTCATCATATCTTATTTTTAAAACTTGAATAGTTCTACAAGTAACTGATAATTTTTCAAGAAAATCACAACAATCAGAATTAAAATTCACTGAATCCAATTCATAAAGAGTTTGAAAACACACATTAAATCTATCATGGTCAATGAACAGAAATGCATAATCTGGGTCGAAATCACCAAGTATCTTGACATTGGAAGAATGATCTAAAATAAATTCTAATAATCTCCTTGTTAGAGAACGAATCACACGATTATCTAACAACAACCCATCTATACCACAATTCATTTTGTTGAAATCTAATTCAGTTATAAACCTAGCGTAATTGTGTAGTGGTGGTTGTTTCTCCAATAATTTAAAATTTAATTGAATTTTATTTTTTTTTAAAAAGTCACTATTTTCTTCTGTTAATAAACAATTAATCAATATTTTAGTGCTGCCGGTAGAATAAAATGAATTTTTCCATAAATTTGGAATGATGGTGTCGTGCCATTTTCTATTAACTAGAATGCACGAATATAGTGTTTTGTAGTCATTATCTTTGATATATTTAGATATTTCAAACAAAAGTTCTGGAGGTGAACTAGCTGCTGCCATTTCTCTTTTTCTTTTTTTTTTAATGAATTAAATAATTGCAATTTTGATCTACAATACACAGCTTTTATATTTTTAAAATTTTTCCGAAACAATTTTTTATTGTTTTATGTATAAAAAAATGTATTTATCATTATCATTTATATTCATAATAATAATAGTAATAGTAACCAATTATTCTTGTAACATTTTTTCTAAATTTTATAATGTTGTAACCCTTAATATATACTAATAAATTAACATTAACCTGTTTGGTTTCTCATCTATACCCGAAATAACATTGAATATATGTGTGTGTATGTAGGGAAAATGAAATATTTTCCTACGTAGAACGTCTGTACGCATTCTAATCGTTTGGAATCTGTTCATATAT